AAAATGTTGCATAGTACCAAACAATCTTTCCTCTATAATTGAGTTTACTTTAAAGTTCACTAATTAACGATAATAATAATTAGTAATAAATTATCAAACAGCTTAGGATTGCGTGCGTTGTCAAGTAGCTCGATCAAATAATTTCTAGGGCTTTGAAATTCGCAACAGCTATGCACAACATGGGACGCAAAAAAATAAAAAATAAAAAATGCCAAATAGACAAAAGTCATCTCGTCTATTTTCAAACATATGTTTTATTAGGAAGGTTACAAAGTCTTTGCAAAATTCAACAGAACAAAATCCAACCATCTCATAAAATCCACTCAAAAAATTACACACACACAAACCAAAAAAAAAAATTAAAAAATCTTAGTCAATTGTTAGGTATTGGTTTGAATTTGCAAAGACTTGTGATCTTATGTAAGCTGCCTTTGGATATAAAGAATTTGACTTCATGTAAAAATCGAGGGGGAAAAGAATAGAGCAAAGCAATTCCTATTTGTCATGAAGAATTTTCTTTTATGGGCCATACGTTGGGCCGACTGAATGAAACTTGGATCCAAGGCCACTAAGATATTGGGCTTATTACCTACTGGAAGGCCCAATGGTATAGGCATACCTGATACCCCCACCGTTTACTCATTTGGAACCATTTGAGCTTTGGTAAAATTGCTGCAAAAAGAGAGGGAAAACAAAAGGTGGGAAGTATCATCAATTGTTGTATTTGGACACTATATGTGCAAAGAAACTTAAGTGAGACAGTGAACTGATTTTATAGCAAGCTTGTGCACTTAAGAAATTCTCCTGTTGAATAATGAGATTGAATTCCAGCAGAAAACGTGAAGAAAACAATAAACAATAGCAGTCACGGTGAAATATATTTCCACCGAAGAATATAAGACTTACCAGTTGTATGCTAGGTGAAAATCTGCACAAAACCCGAAATGTAACGAAATCCTTGTATGATCGAACTTGAGCTAAGGCTAATGATGAATCAATTGAGAACCAAAATCGCGAACAATGCCACATGTGTTGCTAAATCAAGACTTGTAGTTTAGTAGAATATTTACAAGATTTTTTTTTAATAATAATAATAATAATAATAATAATAAATAATAAGGTTAGAAATAAACTTACGGCTGCTCGTGAGTCCTATAGCATTTACCTTATTTTCGTACATCATGATAAACTGAACTTGATGATGGACCAAATGCTTTATTGGTGAAATGATTTCCTGACGAGCTCAAGAATGTCATATGGTTTCATCTTTATATTTATTTACTTGTTAAATTACATGAGTAAATAATTTCGTTCGGACTTATTTCAATCAGTAAAAACAAGTGTTACTGATTAATAAAAACAGTTCTAAGGCAGATTAAAATAATAGGTCATACAAGATTAACTATGGTTTACTACAACTCGTAATTATCATAAACCTCACCCAACACACTGTGATTTCGAGTCAGGTAAAAATTCCTGACATATGTCACAGATCCAAGAAAACTCGTACTTGCAGAAATGCTAAATGAAAAAAGGGTGCTTGATGAATATAGCATCTTGTAAACCCCAAAATGAAGCAACTACATGCCCACAACAACCTCCAAGATATGTAGAGCCCATTTCATAATCGAAAATGCTTAAAGTTAGGGCAGTACAATGAATGAGACACATGCACAATGCTTGATTAGCATAAAAGTTACTAAGCAAATACTCAACTGAGATCATAAATATGTAGTTGATTATGCACATAAACTGCAAGAATCAAAACAAGATCCTGGAATTTAACAGTCACAGTAACAAATATTTTGCTCAAAATGGACCAATCGTATCGTAATCTGATAATTAGTTAAGAATCAAAAATAACTAATCTTTCAACGTTGGCTTGCTGTTTCGTAGATATAATATAAGTCAAATTGACCTTTTTTCCTGATGTGTTCTTACCGGTTTGCTTTATATGATATTTCAGTTATAAAATAATTAAGAGTATAACATAATTTATGAGAATATAGCACACAAATCAACACCTCAAGTCAATCTCTCATCATCCCGTTATCAAACTTTTTCTTTCCTGTTTTAACACTTTGCTATTTACTTCCCTTCCTCTTTCTATGATAGAAATTATAAAGCAAGAAAGCCCATTTAACTGAATATTACAAGTAAAACAGTAGTAAATTCGAGAAGGTGTTTTCTTGTCCATCATTAGCTCTTTAATCTATTCAGTAACTAATACTCAACCACATACTCATAAATGCTATGACAACAGTAAATAACTAAATCTATTCACCTTAGTTAATTTAACAACTCTATCAGTGATATGCTACAAAATGAGAATCCAAGTTATACAAGCAACTTCATCAATGTGCGAAAATAAGGAAAAAAAAAAATACTCCTTGAAGGGCGTTAGAAGGTGAATCCGAAACGCACGTCACAGATGAACTCTAACCTAACACTCAACCATAATGACCGACCCCACTAATTAATAAAAGACGCCAAAACCTTTAATCAAATCGACCAGAATTTAAGTCTCCATCCTTAGTATCGGCAGGAAAATGACAAACATACAGCTAACAAAGGGCTACGTTGCAGTATCTTCACTTGCATGCGAACCATGTGTCGAGCGCCTAAGAATTCCGTTTTTCAGAGGAATACTTAATATTCTAAATTTTCCTCCATCTAAAGCCTAAAATGCATCCTCACCCATGCACCTATGTCCCCCATGGTGCCTATTTAAAGCCGAATCTCGAACTGCCAAAAGAATCACCGAATACTTTCTGCAAATTGCCTTCACTACCAAAGCTCCCTTCAGTGTTCTATCTTTCCTTTCACAT